TTTTCGCATGACTGTAATCACAATTTTAATCATTTATATGTTTTTTATATATATATTGATTGACTTTATTATATAAAACAAAATAAATAATGATAAGGAAGTGAATTACTTTAATAGCCGGATTGTCCCATGTAATCTTTGAGTTTGTAGACTGCGTCTGAGTTCTGTCCAGCAGATACAGATGCGTCTTTGAAGTATCCAATCAAAATGACTTTGATTCCCTTGTAAATAGAAACACCAGCAGCACCAGCCTTTCCAAAGACAGTTCCCTCATCTTTGTCAGCTCTTGTAACTGTGTATTTGACACCACCAATGTGAAGTCCCTTTGATTGGAAGTCTGCGATATTTCCAGACATGATCGCATTTGCAATAGTCGTTGCTTCTGCTTGTTGGATTGTCAAGCCAACTTGTGACATGATTGCTCCATTAGTAGCAAGAATGATTCCACCATGGCCTTTGCCTGCACCAATCATTGAAGCTGTGTAACCGTCCCACGACATTTGAACTATTACCAACTTGTGGTATTCTTTATATAATGTCGACACGTCACTCCTTTATTTGTTTTCTCTTTTCTCTTGAAATTATATTTAATTATTTATTTTTAAATTCAAAACCCAATTCAAATAAAAGTGAAGTTAAAATTTCAAGAAGTCGGTTGTGTAATATGAGTGGTTGAAAATACTTGAAATGAATTTGTTTATATATTATAGTTGAAACTTTATTATTTAAAAACCATTTCATTTGGTTTGTTTATTCAATTAAAATAATTTCATTTCGTATTAATATAAAACAAGATATTCATTAATAATATTGAACCATACTGTATAGTATAATAATTATTAATCAATTATATTATAATTGTATTATTAATGTATTACAATTAATTTATTTTCTATTATAAAACAGTATAATAAAAAAATAAAACAATTTTAATCAATTTGTCATGATATTTTTTGTATCATCAATTTGTTCGATTTTATTAATACCAATTATAGAATTGTTAACTTTCAGTAATTTTGTGTATGTTATTAAGATATTTTCAATTTCACAATTCGTTAGATCGACTACTGTGATTTTTTCAAATACAATTTCTTTGACTTGTATATAAGCGAAAAAAAAACTATTTAAACTCCCGAAGTGTAAACAGATTTCCACTATTTTTCTTTCTGGTTGATGAAAATAGTCATCACTCACTGACAAACTTGTGATTTGATTTTTTTAAATGTTTGCCAACTCCTTTTGGTGTTACTATATAAATAGTTTTGTATTTCTTATTAAAAGAGACTTCTTTAGCATCAAACTCTATGATTTGCTTGTTATTTTGAATAACAATAAAATTTTGTGTATTTTGTAGCACCGCATTGTTTCACTCTATAGGACTCAGACATATCCAAATCAATGAAGAATGTATTGTTGTGCTTTCTATTATCAAGTACAAGACAAACACCATAATTTTCAATTGAAACTTCTTTAGAATTTTCATCATTAAAAATAAGACTCTCCAGTTTACAAGTTATTGCAACAAATTGTTCCAAATTGTTTTTTGACATCTCCAAACTTTCACACACTGTTTTCAATATAAAAATTTTTCATGTTTTTGAGCAACACATTTTTTTAATTTAACACGAGTGAAAACAAGTTCTTTGATGGTTTCAAATTCAAAATAATTTGCAGAGATTTCCGTTAAAATATCATCATTAAATCCTCCGTCTAAGTTTCCCGTCTGTCCAACATCGCAAATACACAAATTTTGAGTCAAATTAGAGTTTATATACTTCTTCACCAATTCAGTGTTTTCTGCTATATTTGCAATGACTTGAAACACGTCTTTTTCTTCACAGTTACAACTTCTTATTTTTTTGTGAAATCACATTAAAATTTTGGGTTTCTTTAGACAAAACGCGAAAAAGATGTTCACATTTTGTGTGAGTCTTTTGACTGTATCAAAATAGAAAAGTGTGGTGTTAGTATTTGTTAAACGATAGTTGTCTATATTAACGATAAAAGTGAAACACGTCTTACTTCTAGATGTAAAATTGAAGTCAATGACAACATCGAGAAATTGCACTAAAAAATACAACACGACCTTTTTAAGTGAATTGTGCGATAAAATGCCTTGAATCATTTATTTATTGAATGAATTATAATAAAAATGTTCACAGAAAGCTGCCTCAAATTGTAAAAAAAAACGATATGTTTTGCATGTAAAAAAGACACTGAGAGGAGTCTATTTTTAACGATTTGATCTTGATTGAAAGTCATTTTTAACCCTTCCGGTACCAAAAATTTCCAAAAAATGTAAACTTATTTATATCTTATTCATTTTGAGTGTATATTAGAAAGAAATCATGCAAAAAACGCTTTAAACTTTTTACAACTATGGGGAATACCAGGAAACAAAATTATTAGTAAAAAATAATTAAATTTACTACAAATTAATAGTAAATTTTAACCTAAAATCGTATTTTTGTTGAAAAAAGGTTCACTTTTTCTGTGAGGAAAACTTGACGACTTTTCCTGTTATTATTATTAAGTTTAAAAATTTTTTCTTTTTATATCAAAAATTTGTGTATAGTATAATAAACTATACATTATAAGTTTTTCTAAATACAGGGTTTTAAAATAAGAAAACGTATCAAATAAAATTCTGATAAAAATTCTTTCTTTGAAAAACAAGGAATACGTCAAACTTTGAAAATTACAAAAGTAATTATTTTAATTTAGTTTATATTGTAAATGTTTTGATGTTTTGTAACAACGTGTAAAAAAGTTGACATTTTATTGAATTCCGATATATGTAACAAATAATTAAATATTATGATATTAGTTGTGCAACCACACTGATTATTAGCGTTCTCACTTTATGAACTTTTGTTGAGAATCATATGTATACGAGATATATTTACGAAATTTTTCTTCTTAACTATCGTTTTAAAAAAATTCGTTTTTATTACACAAAATAAATTAAATGTATATGAATAACATTACTACCTTTTTCACATTATTAAGAAAGTACCTTTATATACATTACTCTAAATTATTATAAAATATATTTTATAACTAATATGTATGACACAACTGTGTTAGACTTTTAATTTATATAACATACAAAAATAAAACGTGCAAACTTATTATATATTATAAATGTTACATCAAACCAGAACTGAAAACTACAATATTAAAACTGAATACTGTTTAATTTAGAATAACTTTTAGTTTACAAATTTTAATTTATATTGATCTGTATGCGTGTTATAACAAGTATATTTCTGGTATTGGAAGGGTTAATTTATTTGTTTCCAAATTTTGTAGCCCTCTTTTAATAAAGACAATTAAAAAAATAGTATATCTTTGAATACCCCTTGAGTGTAAGTCGTTTTTGAAGAGTCGATATACATCGTCTCAAGATTGGGAAAATAGTTTAAAATATTTAAAACATCGTTTGTTTGAAGCAGTTTGTAATAATTAATGTACATCGTTTGAACAGACTCTTTGCATATGCGACTGACTAACATGAAATTTAACACGTTCGCGTTCCATTTATTTTTTATTTTATAAAAAATCTTTTGCTGTGAAAAAATTTAAGTTTTGCAATTTGTTTTTTTTGAAATAATAGTTGAAATAACCGTTCGCATTCCTGACGACATTTTTTTGCAACGATCTTAGTAAAATATAATAAGACATCATAACAAAAACAACTAAGATTTATGAATCAATTCATTTCTTGACTTTTTTAAATCCGAGAGTACGTCGTGAATTAATACATAACTTATTAATCGTCGTTTTGTGTCGTTTACGCGCACATTTCCACGACACTTGACATAGAGAACACATGTTTTAGCAACGACGCTCCTTGCAAGCATTACACATCAACTTTGTCTTTTCGTATAATACATTTTGTTTAATTTATATTATTCGTTAAGCTCGGCCACGGCAACGAGCGCGTAAATGACACAAAACTGCAAGTCGAAAATAGAAGGTCAGTTGAACATTAGAACATAACAGTGTTACAATCGACAAACTTTCCTTGATTTTTTTAATTTTTATGTGCTTATACTTTAATTAATAATTTTAAGATGAGTATTGATGAAAAAGTGTTTCGTG